CTTATTTTTGTATTTTTAGTAGAGATGGGGTTTTGCCACGTTGGTCAGCCTGGTCTTGAACCCCTGACCTCAAGTGATCTGCCCGCCTTAGCCTCCCAAAGTGCTGGGATTTCAGGTATGAGCCACCATGCCCGGCCTTGTTTCTCAATCTTCTCAACTCCAAATGCACAGGGCTGCCAGACAAAACACAAGGTATCCAGTTAAATTAGAATTTCAAACAAACAATTTTTTAGGTAAAAGAATGTTTTAGGGCCGGGAGGAGTGGTTCACGCCTGTAATCCCAACACTTTGGAAGGCTGAGGCAGGTAGATCGCAAGGTCAGGAGTTCGAGACCAGCCTGACCAACATAATGAAACCCTTTCTCTACTAAAAATACAAAAATTAGCCGGGCGTGGCAGCACACGCCTATGCTGGTTGCAGTGAGCTGAGATAGTACCACACTGCACTCCAGCCTAGGAGACAGAGCAAGACTTCGTCTCAAAAAAAAAGAAAAAAAAAAAAAAAGAATGTTTTAGTATAAGCATGTCCCATTCAATACATGGGCTGTACTTGTTGTACTAAAAAGTTACCCGTATTTACCTGAAATTCAGATTTAATTGAGTGTCCTGTGCTTTTATTTGCCAAATCTGCCAACATGGGGAGGAGAGGTCAGTGAGGTTCCAAGTTGTCCCCGTCTCTTGGTATCAACAGTTTAGGGTCTTAATCTGTCTCTAGAAAATTTTCACACATTTCTTATTCAGAGGCTGGTTCCTGGCAGCTCATTCCTGACACCTAAAATAGTTGTTTAAGCAGAGCAACAGTTTCAATCCTTGGAGGCTACTATAGCAAAATACCAAAGTCTGGGTGGCTTATAAACAATAGACATTTATTTCTCACTGCTCTGATGGCTGGAAGTTCACGACCAGGTTTGCCAGGGTGGTCTGGTTCCAATGAAGGCCCCGTTCCATGTTGCAGCTGCCAACTTCTCATTGTATCCTCACATAGTGGAAAGAGGGGAAGAGAGCTCTCTGGAATTTATTTTATATTTTATGTTATGTTATTTATTTTATTTTATTTTAATGAGCCAGGGTCTCACTTTGTTGCCCAGGCTGGAGTGCAGTGGTGCAATCTCAGCTCACTGCAGCCTCCACTGCCTGGGCTCAGGAAATCCTCCTGCCTCAGCCTCCCACGTAGCTGGGACTACAGGCATGTGCCACCATGCCTGGCTAACTTTCGTATTTTTAGTAGAGAAGGGGTTTTGCCATGTTGCCCAGGCTGGTCTCGAACTCCTGGACTCAAGCAATCCATCCACCTCAGCCTCCTGAAGTGTTGGGATTATAAGTGTGAGCCACTGGGATCTCTTTTATAAGGGCACTAATCCCATTTAGGAGGGCTTCACCTTCATGACCTAATCACCTCCCAAAGGCCCCATGCCTAATTCCATCACACTATGGGTTAGGATTTCAACATCTGGATTTTAAAGGAACAAACATTCAGTCCATTGCAGCAAGTAATCGGGACAGCATAGGAGAGGCTGCACATGGATTTTTTTTCCCCAACCACTGTGTGTTCCTTGAGCGCTAAGTCCTGATGCTATGGAGAGATGCTGGGATCCCAGCCCTGGAGGAACGCATCATGTGGTGGAGGAAGCTGCTATCACACAAAGACAAGCAAAACTGCTGGCCCAGCCAAAACTGCCAGAGGTGGGAGGAATTTGAAGATTCACAGAGACGCCCCTAGATGGCACCCTTAAACAAAAATCCCAATGGAAACCCCAACTCAGCTTTCCAAAGCAACGTCCATTCAGGGAATGATGATTGCAGGGCTTTTTAATCTAAGGAAACACACACACACACCCCACAAAAAACTGTATTTTCCTGGGTGGGGAACCCAGCATTTTGCAGCTGAACAAAGTGCATGACGCCAGACAAGATTGGCCAAAACTTAAGAATTTAGGGACTCTTGTCTGTCCTATCCCCACTATTAGCTCTTCTTTTCTGCTATTGTGGAAGAATTACAGCAGGATTCTGTGGTTTATCATCATCATCATCATCATCATCAATCATCACCCCAAGCTATTTCTCTATCCATTAGCCTGATTATTTCCAGAAACATTAGGTGGTAGATGTAATAATACCAGCAAATATTTTTGAACCCCTACTCTGTGCCTCAATAGGTGCTAAGTCCTCGACAGCCACTATTGCACCAGTCCTCCTACAACCCTGTGACTGCTTCTTTTTTTTTTTTTTTTTTTTTGAGACAGGGTCTCACTCTGTTGCCCAGGCTGGAGTGCAGTGTGACTGCAAGTTCTACTTCCTGGGTTCAAGTGATTCTTCTGCCTCAGCCTCCCAAGTAGGTGGGATTACAGGTGCACACCACCATGCCCGGGTAGTTTTTGTATTTTTAGTACAGATGGGGTTTCACCATGTTGGCCAGGCTGGTCTGGAACTCCTGGCCTCAAGTGATCCACCCACCTCAGCCTCCCAAAGTGCTGGGATTACAGGCGTAAGCCATCGTGCCCTGCAGCTTTTTGTTATCTAAAGACATATTCTCCAGGTTGCTATGGCCACAGGTCAGATAACACAGGTCCCCGTCTAGAAAGTGGCTGAGAACTGTGCAACAGCAGACCAAGGGTTGGGCTTATCCCTCTCCCTAAATTATGGTTGAAGCCATGACACAGTAAGTTGCCATCATGCTCTACGGCAGTGGTTCTCAACTTGGGATGATGGGACCTCCCAGGGGACATTTGGCAATATTTTGAGATACAACTGGAGGTTGGGGGGGCAGGGGTCTTGTAATGCCCCAGGGGACATTTGGCAATATTTTGAGACACAACTGGAGGTTGGGGGGCGCGGGGGCCTTGTAACTGGCATCTAATGGGTAGAGGCCAGGATGTTGCTAAACATTCTACAATCCACAGCTCAGAAACACAGAATTATCCCGCCCCAAATGTCAATAGCATAATATTCAGAAATCTTACTCTATGGGGCAGATTTGGGGTCAGGGGAAACACGGGTTCCTGCTCCGACTTGGATCCTTGCAAACTGAGGAATTGGGGTTGATTTACCTTGTCTCTCTCAGCCTGGACTTTCTCATGTGTAAAATGGAGATCTAATCCATCTGAAAGGATCTCACTGGCTTATGACATTTGCATTTGAGGAGTCATGGTTAAAAACTTCCAGTCAGGGTGATACTTCATCTCGTGTGTCTTGAGCTCCAGAGACGTTCCAGAGCAGCTGGTTTTAGGGATACGGGAGGGGAAACCCTGAGACCCCTGGAAAACTCGTTCTCGGCTGCCAGTCGGCCTGTCTTGAAGGTGGTCTGAACTTTCTCACTCCAAGCCAGTCGTGTGAGAAGGGCCACTCTCTGAGCCTCAGTTTCCTCATCTGTCAACCTCTCCGGGCGTGTCTCCAGTGGCTCCGAAAGCCAGTGAGAGCGAGCGCGCCGGCAAAGGCCTGGGCGCGAGACCTTGGCGCGCTTTTGCCGGATCCTTCCGGCCACGGGCGGGGCGAGCCCAGCGGAGCGGAGCCGAGGGGCGGTGCCCGGGCCAAGGGGCGGAGGCAGGCGGCTCTGGTTTCACTCCCGGGACGCTCTTTCCTTCCTCCTCTTCCTCCTCCTCCTGCCTCTCTTCGCTCCGCCTGCAAACGCGGTGGGGGCTGCTCGGCCGCCAAGAGCAGGTGAGAGCTCGGAGCTTGGGGTGGTGGTACGGGTGTCCCGGGTGGCTAGACCCCCCTCGCCGGGCGGGGACAGTGGAGGAACGCGGAGGCGACGGCGTGAGCGCGTAATCGGGGTCCCACGCCCCGTAGCTTTCTGCCCCGGGGTTAGTATAAGGGGCGTCTCCTGCCTGTGAGTCACCGGGACGGGGCTGGGAGCGCACGAGGAGACACGATTCCTCCCCACCCCTCAAAGCACACTCACGCCGCCACCCCCCAACACACACACACTACTAGATTAGGTAAAATGGTAGCTAGCACCACCACACACCGAGACTGTGCCCCTTTCTGGGGAACCTGGGGAAGACGTCGAGGCAAACCTCCCAAGGATTATTGAAAACGGGCGCCCTCCTCGCCATCCAGCCCGTCTTCTCCACCGAGGTCTCCTTCCCCGTCACTGCAGAGAGATCTGCAAGTATCAAAGGGGGCTTCTCTTTGTAATAACAAAGTACTCGACGCCCCTCTGAGTTCCCATTATTCAGCCTCTGTGCCTTCTGGGACGCGGAACCCCTCTCCACCTGCACTTCACTCTTTTCCTCCTCTCCTTGGGTCTCCCTGACTTTTGAAGGCTGAAAGGCTGGGCCCAGATGGAGAGGGGCGGCCAGCGTAAGCTCGAGGCGCCCTGCAGCTCCCATCCCCCAACCAGAGATGTGACCCCTCCTCCCAGCTGGAACTTTCGAGGTAGCCGTTTGCTCCTGGAGATTCGGGGGTGGGAGAGCCAGGAGATTTATTTAGAGCCTTGGAAGGGGAGAGGATTGGCTGGTGTTGGCCTGGCCCAGTCCCCCAGGCGTGAAGAAGGCGGGGCACTCCTTGGCCGCATCGGGTCCACGCTTTCCCTTCTCGGGAGACACCTCTGTGGCTGGGGAGGCCCCTCCGAGGAGTGAGTGACCAGGGGGTCTGGGAATTGGTGGCCAGGTAGACGCATTTGAAGGCTGTGGCCGATGGCATTCTCCCCACGCACTCTCCCATCGGACTCCCCAAACCGGTCTGGGTGGCACTCGAGGCTCCCAGGCCAAAGGAGACCTGTAGGGAGAACTGGGCTTGTTTCAGCTTGCTGCAGAAATGAGATTACGGGAACTGAGTGCTGGGAACATCCCGAGTTCAAGATCTACGCCAGAGGCAGCTTCAGAGAGAGAATGTGTGGTGGTGGGATTAGTCCCCTCCTCAACTTCCACCTCCAAAGGGTTTCTTGTTTTACACAAGGAAAGTAGCAGAGAATGTCTAGCTGGAATGATTAAAATGCACTTTAATTTGCATAGGAGACCCTATACAGCTTAGTAGTAGATAAAATTACCCCCTGTAACTAATGCAATTAGCACGTGGGATATTCAATATGATAAATAACTGTGATGATCTCTCAGTTAATTTTGGCCACGCAAACAGAATCTTTTAAATATTTGTACTGTAGGTCAGGAGGTCAGTTTAAAAGGAAAAATGGAAAACATATCTCTGTGTCCAGCCAGTTCTGGGAAATATAAAATAAGAATGATTGTTTTTTATATTTGAAAACTCAGCAAGGGTTAAAAAATATATCTAATTTAACCAATTGCCTTTATTAAAAATAAGTAAAAATTGTGTGAGATTGGGACACCCCTCAAAATTCCAAGCAGTTTAGTTAGAGTATAATTATTGTGGTGAGGTCTGCCCCCCAGGCGCAGTTCTCCTCAGTGGGGATAGACTTACCCGAAAGTAAATAGATGATGATGTATGGAATGATGGAATTGGGAGCCAACCTGCACAGTAATAAAGAAGAGAAATAGGCCAAGGCTGCTGTTGTATAAGGAAAGCTTTCGAGGGAAAATAAAAGGAAATGAGATTTGAAATAGTGTATTCAGCTTTCTTGCTTTCTGTGTATTTTCAGCATTTTGTCAAGCTAAAAAATATACATAAGCTGTCAGAAATAATACTGTTAACATTTTATCTTTTTTTTAAGTATCATAAATATCTTTTCACATCACGAAACAGTCACGCTATCATTTTAATGACTGAATTTATAATTCTTTAACCCATTTTCTCCTAATGGAAATACAGTTAGCTCCTTTCCAGTGTTTTGCTGGTCATTATATGTTATAAACGGGGAGGAAATGCATGGCCTTTTAGTACATTTTGAGATACCTGTTGGATTATTTCCATCATGTTCCTGGACGATAAATTCCTGGATTGAAGTGTGTGCAATCTGAAATTGTTGTGAATATTGCCAGGTTACCCTCCATCTACATGCCTGCCATCAAGGTATGAGGATGGTAGAAGCTCTCGTCGAACCAGCTGGATGAAGACCACTAACGGCTTTTGTTTCCTCTGGTAACAGCAAGAGACAGGACGACATGAGAGATTGGACCGTGGGCTGCACTGGAGAATTTACCGGTAGGAGAATTCATCCCCAAAGAGATTGAAGTGAGCTTCACAATGGCCAAAGAGGAGCTCCGGAGTATCTCAAGGAACTTGCAAGAACTGCAGAAGAAGCTGTCTCTGCTGATAGACTCCTTCCAGAATAATTCAAAGGTCAGTTTCCAATCACTGTGTATAATGGAAAATCCCAATATAACACTAGCGTAAACAAGATAGAAAGTTATTTCTTTCTCCAGTAGAAGAAATTTGGAGGTAAGTCAAGAATCTTTCTGGCTTACCACCCTGCCATGTCTATGCTGTGACCTTCAAACTCCTTGTCTGCGATGACTGCAAGAGCATCAGCCATTGTATCCATGTTCCGGCAACAGGATTTGAGGAGAGGGGGAAAAGAGATGTACAAGCCACCTCCAATTTAAGGAGACTTCCTGGGAGTCACACACAACACTTCCAATTACATCTCTTAAGCCAAAATTGAGTCATTTGCCACTAATGGCAAATGCAGTTCTTTAGCTGGATAAAGAAGTCTGTGCCACAGATACCATCCTTTTTATTTTTTTTCGTTTGTTTGGTTTTGTTGTGATTTTTGCCCTATCTGTTACCCTGAAAATGAGAGACAAAAGCCTACTTCAAGATTTAAGTTCAGTGTTCCACTAGGAATCCAGCTACAATAGACATGATGTGAGCCACATATGTAATTTAAAATTTTTCTAGTAGCCACATTTAAGAAGTAAAAAGAAATAGGTAAAATTAATTTTGGCTGGGCACAGTGGCTCCCGCCTGTGATCCTCACACTTTGGGAGGCTGAGGTGGGCGGATCACTTGAGATCAGAAGTTCGAGGCTAGCCTGGCCAACATGGTAAAACCCTGTCTCTATTAAAAATACAAAAATCAGCAGGAGTGATGGTGAGCGGCTGTAGTCCCAGCTACTCAGGAGGCTGAGGCAGGAGAATCACTTGAACCCGCGAGGCGGAGGTTGCAGTGAGCCGAGATTGTGCCACTGCACTCCAGCCTGGGTGACAGAGTGAGACTCCGTCTCCAACAAAAAAAAAAAAAATTATTTTTAATAATGTTTTTACTTAACCTATCAAAAATATTTCAACATGTAATCATTTATACAAAATTATTAATGAAAAAAGGTTCTTGAGACATTGTACCTTCTTTTTCGTACTCCCTCTTTGAAACCCTGTGTGTATTTTACACTTCTAGTACATTTCAATTCGAGTTAGCCACTTTTTGGTATTCAGTAGCCACTCAGTGGCAATGGGACTTCAGATAGTATATTGTCTTCTTGCATATTTATCCTTATTGCTTTCTTCTATATGTCTTTCAGCATTGTGTCAGGGAAAAGAGCTTTCAGAGATAATACTGTTAACATTTTGTATGTCATTCTAGACCTTTTTTCTACGTAATATACCTATAAAAATACATATGTATATGCAACAAAATGAACCGTTTTGTGATGTATTTTTGTTGTTTGTATTGGATAGCGCAGCGGAGCTACTTGAAGAGATGCTTCTTTGCAGTCTACAACAATAAATTCTGGACTTGCTCCAGAATTTATCTGGCACTCTTTGTGGATTTACCAAGCTATTTTTAAATTGGACAAGCAGCTTTCTCGCCAGCTGGCAGGGACTCTTGTTATTAAAAGTTAGCTCAGTAAGAAGGGTTCTCCTGCCGTTCCACATTTACAGCTGATTCTCATTAACCATGGTCGTTACGTTCTGTAAAGTTACTGCAGACATCGAATTAGCACATACCAAACCATCACTCCTAGGGGAAATCCAGGATTCAGTTGCTGTGGGCCTCTGCCACAACATTTTTGTCAACTGATCAGTACATAACCTCGTTTTCTGTGTATTTCTGTTTAAAGACATGTTAGTATATATCGTTGATCATTAACATTGAACTCAGGGCCAACAATGGTACCATGACTCATGTCTTAAACAAAGCTAATCACACAATGTGTATTTTCTCCATAAGACACATCACAGCCTTCTCATGCTTAGAAATGCTAGAGAACGCTTCAGCACTAAACTTGGGGACCATTTTCAAGGGTGAAATCACCAACTTAAAGCATAAACGTGGCA